CGCGTGCGATGAAGTGTGCGCGCCACGCCAACAGGAGACAGAGAGAGAGAGAGAGAGAGAGAGAGAGAGAGAGCGGCTTTAAGGTATTAGCGTCCTTCCAGACAATTCCGAACCGGCCGCGTTCCACAGGCTGGACGCCATGCAGAAATTAAACCAATTATGCCTGTCAATTTGTGTACGCTCCGGTGGCATAATCATAGCACTCGAATCCCGTGCCACGTTGTTTGACCATTAGCGGGTATACCGGCTGTCAGAGCGCCGTACCTATCAAAAGGACCCTCGGCATCCTACATCGTATTTGCACGGCCACCGTTCTGTTTCGCTTTAATGCCGAAATTTAATCGATGGATCAAATTTCCCGCACTCGCGCGGGAGATCGAAAGCTCGAAACGGGATATCACGGCAATTTTTCGCGAAAGCGAAAGATAATAAAATCGAAACAAGACGCGGCAGAAAAACGCAACATTGCGGAAAACTCGCAAGCCGAGCGTCGGCTATAACGCACGGTCATTTACTAATTAGACGTTTGTAGTATTAAACGGACGCCGGAACCAACGACGTGAATCCTCTTCCCCCCTCTCTCTCTCTCTCTCTCTCTCTCTCTCTCTCTCTCTCTCTTCTCTTCTCCTTCCTCGACGTTCTCCAAAAGGCGAAACAGTCGGCAAAGCATAAAATGTCGGCGGAGTAGTTGGCGCTGCATTAATTTCCGAATAATTCTCCCCATGCGATCCCTTCTCTATCTTCCTCTCCCTTTCCCGCCTCCCTACCTCCACCCTCCCTCAGCCGAAGACAAGCGTCAACAGCCGCGGCGAATAAGATCGCGCTCGGCGTTTCTTACGTGATCGATGGCGGACAATAATACGCAACGCGCGCGGTTTGCCCAATTTGGCTCGGCACCAGTGGCCATAAATTCGCGAACGGTCTCGACAGGGACCCGCCGGCCAGGCTGAAGGTAGATATACTCCTGTGGACATCTGTTTGGGCGCGCGGAGACAGGGACGGAGCCCATTGGAGGAGTGCGCACTCGAGGCACTCCATCAGCCGCTCCTCGAGTAGGCTTTCGGCATCAAAGCGGCTCGTCCCTCAAACACGCTGGTAATGGGTCAGACTCGCTCGAGTGTCGTAGCTCTTGGAATCCCCTTGTCCTCCGGGCTAGGGCTTTCAAACCGAGCCTTCCTTCACCCCGCCGACCAACGCCTCCGTCCGCGACCGTAGCTAACCACCGTACCCAACCGGCCTCAGCCCCGTCCTGTCCATGCGACCGCCGGTTTCTCCCACCCGTAGGGCTTCCTGGCCGCGTATTAATGCAGATTTCATTATGTGCGCCGCCAACGCCTGGCGATGATCCGATGGCGGCGGTGGCGGCGGCGGCGGCGGCGACGGCGGCGGTGGCGACGTCGCGGCGTCGCCGTCGTGTTTACGCGAGCCAAGATGCCGCCGTTGCAGCTTGAATTATTCGCGTCCCTTTGACGCTACGGAAACTATGCGGCCCTTCACCGCTCTGATTAATCGCCTGGCTTTTTAACGCGCCGCCAACGCCGCGACTGCCGTTGCCGTTGCTGCCGTTGCTGGTGCTGCTGCTGCTGCTGCTGCTGCTGCTGCTGCTACTGCTGACGACACCGCTCTTGTTACATTTGAATGCAAATCGCGTAACGAGCTTGTGTAACGCGAAACTGCGAGCTGTCAGCTTTGGCCGATGGACCGCCAGCGAAAAATGTTTACTACCTCGCAGTAAAAACCTGACTAATTACGTGAAAAAAAAATTGTTCACTCCTAAGCATATTTCTGAATAAGGGTGCAAGTTGCACGTCGCGTTTTTTGCAGCGTGTGGTTATTATATACCAAAGAAAAATATAAAAGAAATGAGAGAGAAAGAAGAAGGGAAAGAGAAATGCTGACGATCACGCGAAGAACGGAGGGGAGATCGAATTGGTTCACTTTCGTAGTTTCGCGCCATTTGTATCAGCATACCATTGAAGGTATCTCTTTCTAAATTGAGCGACTAACTTTCGTCATCGAATACGCAGAAGCCTATTGAACGTACGGCGTAAGCATTATGGCGCACCTAGCATAATGCACCGTGTGTTCTGTTACCGAATGTAATTGTGTTTGCTCTCCCCGTCGGGAGTACTGAATTAATGATCAATAAACATGTTATACTCTCTTTATTGACTATAACGTCGCATGCCGCGATTATCGCGTTGTATTTATACACCTAATATTGGCACCTCCCTAACTATCTGCTCCGTTACCGAAATTCGATACGGTTCGCGTATATCTGATAAGCCATTGTCCCTCCCTTTTATCCTCGATAAGCGCTTTGATTCTCCAATAATCAACGATCCATTTTTTTTCGGCCAGAGATCAATTTAAGAGGCATCAGATTGGAAGAAGACATGATTGCGCCTTGATCCACTAATAATCGACGTTACATCTTCGCAGATAAAAAACTGATTTATAAGGTGTTAAATCACACGAAAGAATTATTGCCCAAAATCCCCTTTCATGTACGCAGCAAGACGAATTCTCGCGCGAAAGCTCATGATAAATTTTGGGCCGTCTCAAGGGCGCTATTCTCTCTTGATAAACCGCAACGAGCCCCTCCCTGACTAACCGAATCGATTTGGCAACGGAGAAAATGCCGCATCCCTTCTTCTTGCAACAACCAAATTAATTCACATGCACTCGTACGGTCGGAGTCCTGTACAGAAGAGCGGTATAAGCTGGATGCGTGGTGGTAGACCGTATATATAGCACGATAGCACGATGGTGGTGACCGGCTTTGATTCACGGCCCCATTGAAAACTCGTTCCTCATCAAGGACGCGAGGATATAATGGCCAGTCGCATTTGGCGCTTTTCCTAGTGTCTTGTGATATCAGCGCTCGCAGCCTTTCTTTTCACGTGACACTTCGAGCCGAGACGTATCAAGGGCGTATCAAGTGCAAAGAGAGAGAGAGAGCGACAGAGAGAGAGAGAGAGAGAGAGAATAGATGAAAAAAGCACTAACGCGCGAATAAAAAACTTTGTGGTCACTCTTATTTGAAAAGATACGGCGAGCTAAGACATAAAAATTTAATTACTACTTGGCTATTCGTTTATCTACTGACCATACCTCGCGATATCCAAATTGAATTACCGTTCAAACTGCTTGTAACTCGTTACCGTTGTCTAAGGGAAGATTTGCGCGAGCGGGAAGCTAGTTATTATTGGCATATTGAATTTTACGTGCGCTGCGTTTTAATAAATGAGAAATCCGTGTTAGTCGTATTATCGATCCGATATCCTACGAATGTACTTAGACTTCTTGATTATCGATTCTCGATAATTACCTCCGGTGTTGCGCAGGATTCATTAATCCGACCTTTTTAGTCATTAAGAAAAGAAAGGACGGAGAGATATCCCTTCGATCTGTATTTACAGGCGTGCTAATCAATAGATATGTTTTCGCCGAATCAAGCCGCGCGAGCGTTTTCAGAAGTTTAATTTTTTTTAGCGAACTTGGTAATACGATTCGCGTGGTGGGATTTGCTCACCAACATCCTACGTTACGAACTTTTCCATTGCAATTTATCTCACCGAGAATATCGCATGCGTTTGTTTTTATTTCTTACGATATCCGCATCGCGCTTATTCTTCCCGGAGTTCCGATTATTTCGCGAGACCGATTCTATATACATAAATCCAGAACCAGTCATCTAACGTCATCGCGATTTCCTCTCTCGCTCTCCCGTTTTCTCTCCACTCCCGGCACACCGGCCGGTGCTAACGGCTCGCGCCATTATTTGGTGGGTTTAAGAAAATTGGATCGTACAAAGCGCAGAAGTCTCTCCCGCTTGCTTTCGAAAGAAAATAAACGGGTCACGGTTAATTGGGGCGCCGTCATGTCCCGTTTAACGAATGTTTAATTTGTCTCGTTACGATGCCGGCACGTAATTAATTTCAATTAATTATATCATCACCCTCGGGTCATCCTCCTCCCCTACGTTCCGCTCTCGTTACGGCAATGATTTCGCGTACAGCTCATTCGCGAACGAAATCACGTTTACCAATATGTAGAGTTTTACGAGGGAGCCGTGCGCCGTGCAAGCATCACAGGCACGATCTGACTGCATTGTGGTTATAATTAATTGGCAAACTGCAAATTACACGATAATCCTAATTATTTGTCGCTTTGTAAAGCGATTGTTAGGATAATAGCGTGATTAGAATTTCATGATTGTCTATACCGCGTTTGTGGCCGGCGTAACCGAAAACCCGAGTTTCAGTTGTTATAAAGGGATTATAAGTATCGTTCCTCGGTGGCTTCGTACGATAAATTATAATTAATTAATAACATGTATATGTATAAAATTGTACACACGCATACACGAAGTCGCGTATACACACATTGTGTTTCACCAATTTTTAAACCATTTTTATTAATTGTCACGCGTATTCTCGTATAAAATATTATCTTATTCGATCTGAGATATTGTTATTTTTTCTTTACGTAACTTTCCCCGTAATATTTCCCGGTAAATTTTCCGATTAGCGCAGATGTACATACGAGTATGTAAGCTTTATCCGAAGAAAAGAGAATATATTAGCAGCACGGGAATTGAAACGTGCATTAATTTGTAATTAACACTCTAGTTAATCACTGAAATGGATTCTTTTCCGTGCAAATGGTATCCGTCCGTTAAAAAATGCAAGCACTTTCAAATAGTGCACGTTGAAAATCCGTGATCCGTTTTAACTAGACACAGTAGTCCGGGGAAAAAAGTATAATTTCCCGTCTCTTCATTATTTATTGGCCCGAGGAGATTGACTTTCACGCGCTCGGTATATGAAGAAATTCCTCGAGCTAAAAATTCTCGCTTGGTTTCTCATGCTTTGTGCAAAACTCTTAAAGGTGACGAGACATTGCTCGCGGATTGAGGTATATGTTCGAACTGTGAGTATCATGCATCCCTCAGGAACTTTTCATCCCTTTCATATAATATATTACGTACGACTCACCTCAGCGGGGAAAGCATAGTTATTGATACGATGCTCGGAACCATGACTATCGTCCAATCCGTAGTGGATGTATATCTCTTCAAATTGATAGTGATAAGCGAGCGGGCCACCCGTTATATTGACTCGTATCTTCGCCTCTCTGTCTACCCTAAATACCAGGAATTGTCCGGTATTGTGTAAATTCCCGGAAACCTGCAAAACAAAATCGATCGAGACTCTTTAGTATTCATCATACATCTGCTGAGTAGAATGCAATTATTTAGACGCGCTCGAGTTATATACGTATTAATTAAAAAACTGAATGAATTTCAAAACTGGAAACAGGAAGTAGGATATGATACACGGAAATATGGTTCGATGGAAATATGTCAAGACACAGATAGAACCTCCGAGAGATGTAAGCAAGCAAGATATTTACAAATTTTATAGGGTTCGATATGCACAAAAGTTTCACATGCTTTTTGATAAAATGTCGCACATTGATAAAATATGTCGGTGGCATCAACTTTGCACGAGGTCGCCATAAGCAAATATAAATTAAAAACAAATTAAAATTATAATGGAATTAGAAATTTTGCAGGACTTTTATTTCATTTTCTGTCGGCCACTCTGAACTCTGTATTGTGAAAACTTTGTGATAGCTCTCTGCAACTGTTCACTATTTACGAAGATATATAACTAACAATTGCTTGGTGAGCCATGTGTATAAATGGAAAGAAAATAGATGTTTATTTACATTCCGTGCAAGAGTAAAGAGACTTTTTTTAGAATTTCCTTTAAAAAGCATAGTAATTTTCCGATAAATAACATAGACAAATTACAACAGAGAATACAAAAATACTTTTTAAAATACATGTTAATTGAAATAAATAATTGTTCATATTATTATTTCAATAATAATATTAGTTTTTGATCTACGTTTATTAGAACTTTCTTCCTCCATTTTGTGAATACTATCTGCCCTCAAAGTCCTGAACTCTTTTTTTTTAACAGCCTATATATACCAACATATGTGTGATTTTACAACAAAATTGAGCATTTTAGTTCGCCATATTAAATTCGTTATTTTGAGATTAAATGGCAATTTTGTTTTCTCATATAGTCTTTGCTTCGACTTTCGAAATGAGCCCAGAAAAAATTCGCTATTTCAATTTATATAAAAAATATATGTACTTTTCATTTTTATTCCATTTTAAGACTATTTGACAAGTATGCAGTTCAAAAAATGAAACTAACAAGGATGTTGATATTTTTATGAAGAATCCTATCCTTCATCTTTAAAATGAGCCGAAAAACAAGTGGTTATCTTTATTTTTATGGAAGATATGAATTTTTGATCGGAACACATACATGTATGTCTCACCAGACACAAAAAGTTTAACTTACATTGTGTAAAACAGCAATGACAAGCGCCGAAATTCAGAAAAACCCGATGACCCCTAAATGAAAGTAAACGACTGTAACACTTTTTAAACTTAACCTTGTATATACATGATCACAAACATGGTTCTTAGTAAGTATTTAACCGGTGCAATATATGGAAAATTAAAAACCCTTAACTTATTGCAATATTCCAAATTTTGACTATCTAATGGACAACAAGGATACTTTTTGCCTATTGAGATTTTTTCAACTCTCATGTAAAATTATCAAATGATATGCTTAATTTTTCCACACGCTCGCAGACAATTTCGGGTAAACTCCTTTTTGCAATTGATAACGTGGAGGATTTTAAATGATAATTAGGTGCATTTTAGGACGAGATTTACGAACAATAGTTCTCACATGCCTTATCGTAATGAGCTGCATAAGAACACGGTTACAAAGATGTCTGCAAGAAAGAGCGGCAGCTCGTCCCGCGGGATAATTGATTAGGCATTTAATTGGATGGAATAGCAAAACCAGAGACACGGGTGCCATGTCGCATAGGAGCTCGGCAAAGTGCAAGACGAGGCCGGGAAGTCCATTTTCTTGTACGTCGCGGGAACCTGAATTATGGCGTCATCAGTTAGAAATAATGAGGTAACCTCGGGGAGAAGCCAGCCGCGGAAGACACGTCGGCAAAAGTCGTCGGGAGATAACTTATTATTTTGCAATAGATTTTTGGCCTTTGACCTCTTTTCCGCCGCCTCCCAATCTTCTCACTTTCTCGGCGGATTCTTGCGCGCGATCGCTATTAAAAGACGGAGTCTTCCCAGCTTTACATTTTTAAATTTAATACCATATGTTGTGCATCGCTATAGTCCTGTGCGTCGAGAAATTGAACAAACATCGCAGTGATCTTTGTATCATCATGCATGATACTGCAATCTGGAAGAAATAGATGTGTCTAAAAAAGAAAAGCTTATCAAACTTATCACAGAGGATTATATTAATAATGTCAATAAGAGGGAGAGGAGAGAGAGAGAGAGAGAGCGCCACTTGTGCATGATAAATTGAAAATTATCGCGAGCCGTAAAGTTTCGTATTACAATCCGAAAATTTATAACAACGCATTGTTCCCCGTAAAATTTAAACAATCCCAAGCCGGTCGTTAATCTCACTCCGAAAACTCCTCGTCGCTGTTTCCTCCCGAATTCATTAAGACATCGGCGGCCCTCCTTCGCGATGACAGAGAGAAATGAACGCGAGCAAGCAGGCGACCGGCGCGGCGGCGCGGCGGCGCGGCGGTGGCGCGACGATTTTCCCTCCCCCGTGCGCGCGCACGGAGGGAGAATCAATGGCGCATAACTCATTATTTCGCGATAGATTTCCACCCCCTCGATCGCCTCCGGGAATAATTCGCCAGCCTCCCGCTTCTTTTTTATCCGCCGGGGGGCTTCTCCTTTTTTTCTCGCTCCCAAGCTCCGAACTTGGATCAATGGAGGCGACTTGGAGAGGCCGGAAGAGGACTCGCGACAGAACACGGTAGTTCCGTGGGATCTCGAGCGCGCACAAAGGCCGCCCTTCTTTCGACGAAACTCAAAGTTCGGGCCGGGAGTGGATCATCTTCCATCCTTACGCCTCCTTACCCCCCCCCCACCCCCCTCCCGTCTCTCGAGCCTCTCGACCCTCTCGCCCCGGTCGTTTCGGGAAGTCGTCCCCGAATGGTCCGAACAATCGTCGCTGCGTATTCCACCCCGACTGCTGGTCCCAGTCATTTTGTTCCCGCGCGGGAACCGCAGAATTCACAAGCGACTGGTCGGTGAATTCGTCGGTTAGGTGGAAAGGGGGCATCGGAGCAAGAGGACGGGGAAGAAGGACGGATATGAGAAGACTTCGCGCGGCGCGGTGAGATGTTTCACGATTAATTTACGGCCGCCGGCGCGAGCTTCTTTTTTCCTTTCTGTGCGTCTAATGGAAACGCCCGTGGGCGAGAAGCCGCGAGAATAATCGAGTTTCGCGGGAGGGCGCGGATAGTCCGCTCGCGGGCGTCGTCGCGACGTAAGCGAGCGTCCGGCTCTGCGCGCCGGACTGTTTATGAGATCGCCGAAACTCGGCAAATCCCTTTTCCATACGGGCTGCAATTTCGCGATTACGTTCCGGGAATTTTGGGACTATGAAAAATGTATGAATCGCGCAATATTATAACCGGCCCGCAGGATCTGCTTGTTTATCGTACGTTAATCAACGCCGTCAATCGAATAGTCGTGATGGAAGCGAGTATCTTAATAATAATGTATAAATCGAGACGGTCGGAGATTCTGTCGAAACGCTCCACGAGAGAGAGACTTCGCCGGTAGAGCGGGGAAGCCCGAGAACGATCGAGAGCGTCTGGGGTGACGAGAACATTTGTCCGGTAATTAATACGAATTAAGCCGCAGTATCACGCAGCTCACAGTAGTGCGGCCCGCCCTCGTGGAAATTCGAAAAGCTTCTTTCGGTTGCGCTCGCATTTCCCTTCCCTCGGAGCAACAGCGCGCGGGTTAAATAACAGCTTGCTCTGTTTATACGGCGGTTAGGTCGATTTGTGCGCGACAGTTTCTACGATCGAGTTTATCGAAACGTGCGACTTCAATTATGGCGCGCACGGCCGAGAGACACCCCCGGGGAATTGGCGATTCCACGCGACGTAAGAGAACGCTCGTTACAGCTTCGATTACGGCGAACCCTCAGACGGAAGAGGAGGAGGAGGAGGAGGGTTACAGCACGATTCGCCGTCGGTCTCGTCGGCTGGCAGCGCGAGGGTTGTTCGTGCGAAAAAATGTAATGCGGTATTGAGACGGCGCTTTTAAAGAGCCTACACAGCGATAAAGGAGCCGATACCACAAGCCGATAACCGAATCTACTCGATCACTTGTTGCTATAAAATTACAGCCGGACGTGCGACGTTGGCGTACAAAGCGCTCCGACGGAAACTCAGCCAATTCGTACATTGAACATCACAGCCGGTAAACACAGCCGGAAAACTGCTGCGCATTATTCGAACTCCAAGATGGAACTTGATGGGAATTGATCCCCTACGATATTTATCGACATCTGTCGTGTCTTGTCCTTTTTTTTTTTCAGGTAACGTCGATTTTAAATCGTCACGACCAATGATGATTATCCGGCGCGCTTCACGTAATCATTAGACACGAGTCTCGCTTCGCTTCTTTCGCCGCGCGACGTTCGACCCACGGTCTATACATTATACACTGTAACCGGGCTACTTGTCCACCGCATCGCGGAAGTCGCAGATACGGCGGCCCATTCGCTTCCTGTTCCGCCCCCGGCCCCGGAGGAAAAAGAGAGAAAGGGTGAAAAATGCGCATTCTTCGACTTCGCCGAGAGCACGAGCAGACCACAAAGTGTCTTCCGCGGAAATGCACGTGAAAAGGTTTAAACGCGCTTCCGAGGTATCGTTTGCCCTGTCGTTCCCTTCTCACCCTACGATCCTCGTTTCCATTGCCCCTTTCGCCTAGCCTCGTCGTAGAGTCAATCTTTTCTACGGCGCCGGTAGCTGCGTTCTCACGAACTCGCCGCGCGCGCACCCACGAGCCCGTCTCGGATGCATTCTGCTGCGCTTTGAAACGAGCCACGGACGGGACTCTTCATTGTTTGCCTACTTCTACCCTACCTACCTACCCTCCAGCCAGCGGCAACCCTCGCCCGCCCCGTTGCGGAAAGCGCTAAAGAGAGTTCTCTGAAGTATCCTCTGCCTCTTGCCGCACTGTTAACCGCGTCGACGCCGCGCCCTCGCCTCTTTCATTGGAACAAGCGGCGTGAAACCG